GCTTGCAATGGTAGTCTGTAAATTACAACATTTGAACAAGGGATTGTTGGTATAAATTCCGGGACGGCCTCTCCTCCTCAGATTCCTCTATTAATATCGCAAAACATGTCAGTAGGGCAGAAACAAGCCCACAAGTGACATGAAGGTACAATATGTATTAATCCTTATCATGTTTACGAATCTACGGATCTAACAGTTGTTAAACTTGTATAATCTAACAGTTGTTAAACTTGTATAATCTAACAGTTGTTAAACTTGTATAGTTTTTGACGAATGAGCTGAAGAAGCTAGCTTTGCACATGTAATAAAGTGCTGAAGTCCGCTATGCCCTAGACCTGCTCTCATTTGTTTAGAAACACCCAATGCGTTATAATGTCCGGTATATCATTCTCCACTTTGCTTATTTACGCCTGTACTCCCGATACATACGTCCTTCCTTGTTCCTCCGAGGCTTTGTTGTTGTGAGCGAATTGTGCGGTTAAATACGGAACTGAGCCCTCAGACAACCTGACGAGTACTTATTGTTCTACTAACCTAGGAGCTGCATACTTAGGAAATGTTAGTGGCTGAACAATTAAACAACACAATCATTATCGAAATGTTAAATCTTACAATCATTATACAGTAGAACGAACACTAATTACCTACATGTGCACTTATTTTTCTTGATATGTACCCAAAATGGAGTAATTTGGGGTTAAATGGTATCTTAACTCACACTTTTGAGTATTAATAACAATTTCGGAGTTTCAGTTGACCATACCCACACAATACGGCAAAGATGATCCTCCTATACTGCCAAACTGACAATCGCAAGCAAGTGGACTTGCCAATATTACAAAGATGACCCTGATCGACTAATACGCTAAACTGACCCATCAATACGTCAATCTGACCAACCAATATAACAACGTGATCCACCAAAAAATACCTAAATTAATTGGTGCAGCATTGTATACATTGCATTTAGTAGCAAATAATTTCGGTAAGAAAAGTTCGACAGTGTCTGCAATAAATGCTAGTCAATCTACGGTCAGCCATGCCCTAGGTGTTTGACGACACAGTGACCAAAGGCGGTAGTCATATTCACCAGTATTTCGTTAACTCTAACCCGCGACATTGTAAGGTCGCGGGTATGATCACGTGCTGACCTGGGCCCTCTGGAGTTGGCCTTGAATGTTGATCTGTAGCAGGGGTATCATCTCGGGGTACGGTACTGAGGATCTCGGGGTACGGTACTGAGGATCTCGGGGTAGGGTACTGAGGATCCTCGGGGTACGGTACTGGGGATCTCGGGGTACGGTACTGAAGATCTCGGGGTACGGTACTGAGGATCTCGGGGTACGGTACTGAGGATCCTCGGGGTACGGTACTGGGGATCTCGGGTACGGTACTGAGGATCTCGGGGGAAAAAAATCCAATAGAGAATCCCTAGGAACAAGAAAATGACTGTCGGCGCAGTTTATAACATTATGGGGACAAGAAATAATATGAAAAAACCCACTATTTGTGTGTGCTGTTTGTTCTGAAATGAACATAAACGTTTACATTTTTACATTTTCCCTATTTTTTGTTTCAATAAATACGCCTGAGCGTATGATTATGAGCCATACATAGCGTACCAACATTATTTGGTTTTGCAGAATTTTCCAAAACACTGACTATATTCCAGTCAACTCCGGTCTTAAAAACGGTTTTAAGTAGGCTCCCATCTTTTAATTATAGGTCATTACATTACCCGAGGCAGTGCTTTTAAAATAGGAAAAAGAGTTGATATGACTATGAAAGATATATATAAGTTTCTTGAAATACGTGGATATTATTAAAGTTAGAAAAGTATTGCTTCATCCGGTTCAAATTTTACGGAAGCCGGTACGGGTCACCGAGAAAAATACGTTATGTCGTAGTAACGACTTACTATCTCGTAATACCGACTTAGCCATGTCGTAATAACGACTTATTATCTCGTAGTTCACTGTAACGACTTAGCTATGTCATAATAACGACTTACTTTCACGTAGAAACGACTTTGATATGTCGCAATATTGAAAGAGAACGACTTATTTTCTCGTCATAACAACTTAATTAAGATGTCAATTTGTTTAAAAAACAAACTTTACTGACTTTTTAACGGATTTTAAACAACTGAAATAAATTTGGATTGGATTGATTAGTTTCCTTACTCGTATCTTGGATTATCGACGCGAATGCGATCAAAAAGATTACAAGAGGTCCATTTGACCTTTATCGCTGACGTGGTTTTTCATGTAGTTTTATCTCAGCATTCTTAAAAGTTGCACCCCTGCAGGTTGAGGATCCAGAAAATAATTTACCTGCTGTTACCAAATTCATGTATCGTAAGATACAACTAATAACGGAACCCCTCTGCAGGATTGGGATTTGCTTTAGTGTTCTCTATTTTGGGGCTCAAAAGCGACCAAAATAAATCTGCTGCAACCATTGCAATATTTGGGATCTTTATACTTTATTAGTGCCTTCCTTGGCAATACCTCACTTTTGACTTTAATGTTGAGCGTTCGTCCTGGTGAGGAAGGCAATGGGTTCAGGCTGGGACATACCAAAGTCCTTATACATGATAGTTATTATTCCCTGCTTAACGTTCAGCATTTAGGGTCATGGCAACATGTACCCGGGCGGAATGATGTGTCTAGTGCTTTCGGCATGTTTTCAGTGAGATAGCACTATAAAGTCGGCATCAGATCCGCGCTACATAGTAGGTACACAAACATACCCTGTCTCCGGCTCACACACACACATGCAAGCGTACACAACACACATGGAGGCACGTCCTTAAACGACTGGAGCTGTTGATAGGGCGTTAAACAAAATAAAACCAAACCAAGCCAAAAATTAACAGTTGACCAAAGCATGTTGAAATATTTGAATGAACTTAATTAAATGTCATTTCACTTCCTATGACTCCTCGTTATTCACCAGAACCTTTTAAAAGCTTTTACCACAATTTAACTTAAATGTGTGACCTAAAAAGTGTGTCATTTTGAACGAAATTAAATTTTTATGTTAAGCATTGCTCGTGTTTGGTAAAATACAGAAGCTTCCTACTTTAGTTCAGTCATTTCGGCAAAAAAAAGTAAAATGGCGCCAATGTCAGTTTAGCAAATAATGTCACGTGACACAAACACCAAATTCGGCTGTACCAAACGAAAATCGCGTTTCGATGAATGGCACGAATTGTGTGCTTCAGCTCCACGTCTCGTTATAACTCTAGCGCGATCGTAACGCGTGTTAACTCTAGAGCGATCGTAACGCGTGTTAACTCTAACGCGATCGTAACGCGTATCAACTCTAGCGCGATCGTAACGCGTGTTAACTCTAGCGTAATCGTAACGCGTGTTAACTGTAGCGCGATCGTAACGCGTGTTAACTCTAGCGCGATCGTAACGATGGCCGATCTTTCCACCACGAGTACATATTAGTTGCTGTATTCTTACGACTTGGATGGAAAATGTTAATTCAAGTGTGAAACAGAATTGTTATAATTGTCGGGGACATCAACAACGAAGAAAACAATAAAAGAATGTTAGGATCCCTGTCCCACTGCACTACCGTTACACAGTAACCTCCCCTTAACTTCCGTTTGATATAACTTTAGCACAGTTGGCTTTGTACACTTACGTAGACCAAATAGCCCAATTGGTGACAGCGATAGTATAACAACCAGAAGTCTAGGGTTCAAATCAAAGTATAGCCCCGTTGTCATTTTCTCACGCCGCAGAACACTCGATCTTGTTGATTATGTTTAGCTTATTTCATATTCATTGTTTTTTTTTTAAAAATCCCGGGGAAATTCCAATACTTGGTTACGGATTTTGGCAGTGATCGCGGATCCTTAAAGGGCACAACAGTTTAGGGTTCACACGACGTTAAGTGTAGATGATGTGCGGTGTGCGAACAATATGTGTGACGGTGTGCGAACAATATGTGTGACGGTGTGCACACCGTGTTCTGACGTTACAAAACTCATGCATCTCACATGCGACTTTATCCCACTGCTCTCACTTCTCGTGAACGTCCTCTCTGTCACACATGCAACCCTCCGATGCCACATCCTACAACCATCGAATTTCCCTCCCCTCGCACCCCTATTCCATCATATCACCTCCCTGCCCTAACACTGCCACTCGCATCCCTTCCTCTACTCTCTTTCACACCCATCCCATAAATAGGTTTGTATGTCAAAAGTGAGGAATGTCACGTCTCGTGTGTATATGGAGTTATATAGGCGGATACGTACCTACACATACACAATGCAGGAAGGTGTATACACTGGCAGTAAATGTTCCGTACACACGTACAGTTTTGATGTGTAGCTATCGATCAGTATGAAGGCCTAGCTAGCTATTGTACCTGGTCAATCATTCTGATACCGATAAATCGAATACAAAGTATAGATGATAATAATAACATGATATGGCAGTGGATGTGAATATATCCTCAAAGAGCATGATTATGTAACGATGTGCTGGTTACGGTAGCAGTGATGTCTATTCCTCCTTTAATCGTCTGCATGTTTTCATCTAAGTGTCTATTGAATTTAACACTTGGTGATTTATTTAGATACAAACTACGTAATACACGGTTAACCGGATACACACCCGGCGTATGTCGACACCTGTCGGAGGATATTAACCTTCTGTCGTCTGCCTGACAATCCATGTCAAACCTCTTCACCTCTCTCATCTCCCCTTCTCCTCCTCGCCTCGATCAACACCCCGTCACTTATATTAGCCCATATATTATCACAGGGAAACAGCTCGCCGTACACAAACGGCCGACAGAAGCATAGTAATTTCTCTGATGACAGCAATGGCTTTTACTAATACAACCTTAGTAACAGGTCGCACAGGTTACGTGAGTTTATCAGTACGTACATCGCAGAGATATCATTGGTTGTTATTGACCAATCACGTCCTCTCTCATTTCTATTTAGATATGCTAGCTAAACCACGTGTCTTTAGTAGAATTCTACGCTATGTATCAATAAGTGCAGGACAGGATGATAACTAACAATACTTACGGAGGCTACGTTATGAAGACGGAGTTTTAGGTAAGCTTATCAAACTGTTTTCTATTCAATCATTCAAACGCGGAATTATTCTGTTTTACTGACTTTTACCTCGATGCATTTTCAGATTTTTTTTTAAATAAACCCCAAAGGGATCGTTTATTTTCAATGGCAAAAACCAATCCGGAGGGGGATGAGGAGTGGAGGGAGGGACGGGGGGGG